ATTCCAAGTAATACTCTTAAAATTTATTAATATTTTATTTTATTTTGGAAAAATATAACTGGCTTCATTTTGTAATGATTTGTTACTTCCTAATTTAAAAAACATTTATTTTATATTCTATGTTCAATAATTTCTTTGCTATTTTTGAGTATCAACTTCAGGTGTCTGTTACTTCTCTTGTACTTGCTGCTGGTGGTTAGTTTCTTTATATGTTTTCTATTTTTTTAATTATAAATTTATGTACAGAGATAAATGGATAGAGAAAATAAAAGCTTGGATTTTGAAAGATATTACAAGGATACTGTTTTAATCATCTGCTGTGCAGGCAAACGCAGTATATTTTTTCTTCTAAGCACATCTTACCCTGGCTACTGTGGCTCAGTTGGTTGGAGCCTCCTGTTGTAACTGAAAGGTTGCAGGTTCGATTTCTGATCAGGGCACATGCCTAGGTTGCAGGTTTGATCCTTGGTCTGGCTGTATATAGTTCCTAGTCCCAGGGCGTACAGGAGGCAACCAATTGATGCTTCTTTCTCACATGGCTGTTTCTCTCCTTCCTCTCTCTCTAAAAAGCAATGAAAAATGATCTTCAGGTGAGGATTTAAAAACACACACATTTTTATGTTTGGTTTATAATTATAAAAATTGAATTAACCATAGAATGTAATGATAATTTTTTTGGTTAGAAAATAGAACACAATGACAAATCATAATTGAAGTACTTGATATAAATAGAAAATTGTCTTTTTGTTGTGAAGCGTGTTGAAAGCTTTTGAGATTCACACAATAATTAGTTCCTGCCAAAATAGGAAGGCAGGCAAAATATGGGGAATATACACAACAGTGATGGCATTATGTTATTTCCCCCTTTTCAGATAATGCAATTTATGTTTAGAGAGATTGAGCCACTTGCCCAAATTCTCAAAGCTAATAGGTGATGGACCTGTACTCAGATTTCAGTTAGACTTCACAATCCATTTTAATCTCTATTTATACTGACTCACAGTAAAACCTTTTATGACAGAAGCTGACAGTTATTACACATTCTTTGTTTTTTAGCTGGGTACATGATAGTCCAAAAACAAACAGCATTTTCTACTCCAGTTTGCATCTTGGCGTGGCCATGTATCAGAGTTCTGTTCATAGGAGCAAAAATGATGTAGTATGTGCAACTTGCAGTTGCTGACTTTAAGGAAAGGGGGTGTGTTCTTCATTCCCACTTCCTCCTTTGTTCTTGCTGAAGCATAGGTGTGCTCATAAAAGATCAAGTTTAATGATGTGCCCATGTTAAAGAATTAGTTTTCAATAATGTTTAACATTATTTTGTTAATTCCATTGCTAGTCTTATAATACTAAAAGCCTAATTTAAACCAGTTTTTATAACATGAACCACTTACTAGTTTGGACCAAAAGCTTGAAAAGTTGATTCCGCTCCCCATTTTATTATAAATTTCTATCTCTAATAGAGGAGTTATGTTTCCACACTTTAAATAGAAAATTATAGAGAAAAATATCATTGATAAAATTAACAACCCCCTTTATGAAAATAAAAATTCACATTTTATTTTCTTTCTAGCCATTTTTGTAAGCCTTAATTTTAATAAAAGACATCTAAACAAAGCTACTAATAATAGAATATCTTGATTATTTTCATTTATTATAGTAAGCTCATATTTCTACCTGGTGGTTAAAGTCATTTTAGATGTGTACATAATACTCATTCGAGAGGCTGTATTTATTTATTCAAACATTTTATGTTGTTCCCAGTTTTTACTGTGATAAATCTCATCTCCACCACATACCAAATGCATGAATTTTAGAAAGTTACCTCTGAGTCTCGATTTTCTCCTCTGTGAATGAGAATAATAATAGCACTTATTTCTAAAGTTCTAGGGAAGAATAAATGCATGCACACCTATTTGGTGTATGGAGTAGTTCCAGGACATGGTAAACAGAAAGCACGGAGATATTTTTTGTAATGGTTTGAGTTTATTGAACAAACCTGACTCGATGAGGCGTAAAGAGAACTAACTTTAATCTTTCCCCTGTTTTCCCTCTAAACCTGTTCTTTTTTTCTCTCTTAGATGGAAATATCAGGATTTTACTGTCTTTTCTAGGTAATAAAGCCCCTGTTTTGATGATATGTCTAGTCTAGTTTAATCTCCTAATTATTCCATTACTACAATTCAGCCTGGAGAAGTAGTCCACACTTCACACTCTTACCCAATACAAAGCTTCCCTCTCCCAGGCCTTGGGCCGGGTCTAAACTGGGACACCTGCCGTGGGAGGAGGGAGGCGAATCGTTTCCTTCACTACATCCTAGCTCTCCCTTTCCTCTTATTTCGAATAACAGTTACTAAATAATAAATTATATTGGAATATTCGCCATTAGCTTAAACTTTTCCCCCCAGAAAAGTATTGTCGTTATTCTGGAGTAGAAGAGAAAAAGTTTTACTCGGCAAGGAATAGTTTACTATTCTTTCCTTGACAATTAGCCAATTGTTACTATTCAATTTTCTTAGAGACTCTTTAATAATTTACCCATGGAAAGCAGTGTCAGTTTGAAACTCCCTGGAGTCACTAAATTAAAAAACAAAAATCCTGATGATTTGATGTGGGCCATTACCAGCCATGTAAAAGAAGATTAAATTGCAGTATTTCTCTTCTTTTGCCCTAATATGTTCCCAATACTGTAATGTTCTAGCAGCAACTATTCTTCATAGTATGCAAGATGATAATATGTCACAGAAAAATTATTGTTGGCAATGTGGCTTTTACTGCACATTAATTTTAATTTTCTCTTACTATTTCCTCACAATATCCATTTCTTTTGGATTACTATGTTCTATTTCAAAGCCATTTTTCGATTGTAGAAAACATATCAAAAGTCTAAGGTTTCGGGCATTCATATAAAAAATCTGTTTTAAACTCAATACCTTTTTATCAACACTGGAAAATAGATTTGTGTTTCTGTAGCCCCTTCATATTCAATCCAAAAATGGAATAATCAGTGAAGGGAAGAGGTTTAGGAAGAGGTGTACTTTGAGCTAAGTCTTTGAAATATAAATTAAGAGACCACACAAGTCAGGTGAAGTTTTTCAAAGCTTCTGGAGTAATGTCTTACAGCCCACAGGACAGATAAAAATCTGAAATAGTGCAGGCTCTAAAATTTTGTGCAACTCTGTGTCTCACAAGTGAATGAAACCATGACCGAAGTATTTTAAAGTTGCAAAATTTTTTGGCAACTGTGCTGCATCTGGCAGATTAATATTTTTAATTTAACCATGACAACATAAAACGTTAAGTGTCTAACAAAACAATATATCAAAAACTTCTTGCAAACTATGAGGTTACTTAAGGATTGTCAGTTATTGTTAACACTGGGTTTGCTAGTAAGCACAAAAACACAAGTCAGAAACAGTCTTGTAAATCATGCATTTCATTTAGAATGATTTAAAAATGTTAATTCAGAGGAATACATTAACTAGTAACATATACCATATATGTTCATTAGTACAATTTATGAAAAGCAAAATCAAATGACTTCTTAAGATTGTGTCAAACACCAAAAGGTAAAGGTATTGTCAATTAATTTTTTATTTTTTTCTAGTGTAAATAATTTTCTTAGAGAAATACATGAGTGACATTAATTCAGTAAACATTTTAAACTACATACAATATCAATTAACTGAAATATGAAATTTCTCATTTCTTTTTCAAGTATGTATTACAGAAAATTGAACCGCATTTAAAATAATAAGAAGCTTTATATTTCCATTATCTAAAAACTATGTTCATATTTTGGTCTATTTCTTTCCAGTATTGTGTGTGCATATGCATGCATATATGTATTTTTCAATATTCTTCAGGTCATATTATATTTATCTTTGATATATAGGTATTTTTCTTGCACTTGGCATAAATTACGATTTTTCATGTCATTTTTAAAATGACCATAATAGTTAACTGAATGTACATACCCAAATTTACACATTAGATATTTTGAAAAATATTTTTAAATCTCTGTCCATAACGTGTATATTATATTTAGGATAATTTATTTAGGATAGATCATGAAAAACAAGTGTATCACTATTCCAAAAAAAAGAATCTTAGCAGACATCAAGAGATATCATCAACAGAAAAGGCAAAAATTCTCAATAGCTTAATATAATTGTTTTTTATGTACACCAACTCCTTAGAATAGCATGGGAGGGATTCTTCAATAATTGCCTTGAAAAAATTTATTTTTTTTGTCTTCCCATAATAAACAGCAATATCAACGGAACCTTGACCTTTGTAAATCAGGGCTAAATTTACATCAGAAGAAGAAATGGTTGAGCTAAAGAAAGAGATGCATTTTCTGGTGTTAATTCTACTCCTGTCCAGATCTTGTTCTGTTTAGATTCCCTTTCACTTTCCCTGAATTTGGAATTAAGGTCTGTCCACACTCAAAGCATTTCCAGCTTGGGTTGCGGGGGGCAGTTTCTTTGCTATGTCAACTAGGGTCCCAATAGCTGCCTTGTGGTTTTTAAGCTTTTGAATTGGAGGAACTTACCGGAAAAAAATTTAAAACGAATATTTTGAAAATGCAGGTTGTGACAAAATTTTCCAATGTTTAGCTCTGTAACTCTTTAATACGTCAAGGTGAAAGTCCATAAAGAATAGGATAACGTGTAGGACATGCTTTACTACAGGCATTGCTTCTTTAGGACTCCTGACACAACATCACAGACTTCTTTCAATTCATCTACTTTTTAGTCCACTGCTGTTAGGCTCAGTATAGAGTGAGAGTTTGGAGAGTAAGGGTAGCTACCCTGGTTTACCAACATCTCTCTACATCTCTATGGGACATGGGAGAAATACTTCCTTACACCAGGTTATTGCAGAGGACGATTTAGAGATGCCCACCGCAAATGTTTTCTACCGACGCCTGGCGACTCTAGGGGCGGGGCTTGCGCGGGGATGACGTCACTACCGAGCGCCAGGCGCGCTTTGTAGGCGGTGGATTCAAATGTTCAGGCCTGGTTCCGGGGCCTGAATTATCGTCGGAGTGGCGGTTTGTTTTCGCTTTCACAGAGGGCGTGAGCTTCTTTGTGGTGCTGGGAGGACGTCGGAAGTTGAGGTGGCTGGTGCTGGAGGCACAGAATGGCGCTCTCGACCACAGTCTCTCAGAGTAAACGGATAAAGCGGAAGGCTCCTCGCAGCTTCTTGAAGCGCATTTTCAAGCGACAGAAGCCTCACCTTCGTCTGGAGTCAAGTTGTGACTTACTGGTGAGATTCTCTGCTTTTTTGGGCCTGGAGTGGGGCAAGGGCCGGTAGGGGAAATAAACCCCGGTCTACTTCGCTGCCCCCAGACAATCTAGTTCTTTCGAGCCTATGTTTAAGGCGTTCCCAACAATGACTAGGCAGGTCTGCCCCTGGTTGGCATGTCACTTCGTATTCCTGACGCTTAATTGTGTTGGAGCCCCCTGAAATGTCGATGTCTGTACCGTTTTTACTAGAGGCTATTAGCCACTCAACTTAAGCAGAAAACTAAGGTTGAGTTCCTGCTTGCAGCTTTTAAATACCACTGTTTAGGAGAACAATATGGTACAGAGCTTAGTGTACTTGCGAGAGGAAGAAAGATACAGCCTGTGAAAAGTATATTACGGAATTCAAGTTGGGTCGTTTTTACTTAATTATCCTAAAAGGCATTACTGACATGTCTTTTTTCTACGTTGTTAACCAAATATATTGCCTTATTTCCTCTACTTTAACTTACTTAATACAGAACCCTGAACCAAAAATTTATTTGTAAGTGGTATGCTTTCAGCTGTGAATTCTTTTTCCTAGACAGACAGAACATCTGTTAATTCTTTTTTCAAGCCAAACTATTGAAACTTGTTTATCTGACTCAAAATATCTGCGACATAATGCTTTCCTAGTAAATAACCGCAACCAGATCACTGTGTAATATTTCTATGTTGACAAAAATTCAGAGTTTTTACGTTGAATGCCCTAAACATAGACCCCTCTACCAGAATGAACACAGTATCCTTAGGTTTAAATTATGGGAGACACCTCTGGTTTGTCACAAGAGCTTTATGAGTAAAGGAGCCATTATAAGTGGGCACCTAATGAGATCAAGGTAAAGAATTGTGGCTAACAAGCACATATGGCATTGAGAGTATCTTCAGAATGCATCATTCCATCTGTTTTGTTGTTGTTGTTTTTAAAGTATATTTTATTGATTATGTTATTACAGTTGTCCCTTTTTTTTTTCTCCCCTTTATTCCCTAGGGCCCTGCACCCCCCTCCCACTAGCATTCCCTGCCCCCTACCTTAGTTCATGTCCATGGGTTGTGCATACAAGTTCTTTAGTTTCTCCATTTCCTATACTATTCTTAACCTCCCCATTTTGTACCTACCAAGTATGCTTCTTATTCCCTGTACGTTTTCCTCCATTCTCCTCCCTCCCCCCTCCCTGCTGCTAACCTTCCATGTAATCTTCATTTCTGTGATTCTGTTCCTGTTCTAGTTGTTTGCTTAGTTTGTTTTCAGGTTCAGTTATTGATAGTTGTGAGTTTGTCATCATTTTACTGTTCATAGCTTTGATATTCTTTTTTTTTTTTTTAGATAAGTCCCTTTAACATTTCATATAATCAGGACTTGGTGATGATAAACTCCTTTAACTTTACCTTACCTGGGAAGCATTTGATCTGCCCTTCCATTCTAAATGATAGCTTTGCTGGATAAAGCAATCTTGGATGCAGGTCCTTGTCTTGCTTGACTTTGAATACTTCTTTCCAGCTCCTTCTTGCTTGTAAGGTTTCTTTAGAGAAATCAGCTGAGAATCTTATGGGAACTCCTTTGTAGGTAACTGTCTCCTTTTCTCTTGCTGCTTTAAAGATTCTCTCCATATCTTTAATCTTGGGTGATGTAATTATGATGTGCCTTGGTGTGTGTGTCCTTGTGTCCAGCTTCTTTGGGTCTCTCTGAGCTCCTGGGACTTCTGGAAGTCTATTTCGCTTGCCAGATTGAGGAAGTTTTCCTTCATTATTTGTTCAAATAAGTTTTCAACTTCTTGCTCTTCTTCTTCTCCTTCCGGCACTTCTACGATTCTGATGTTGGAATGTTTAAATTTGTCCTGAAGATTCCTAAGTTTCCTCCCATTTCTTTGAATTTTTCTTTCTTCATTCTGTGTGGTTGAAATGTTTATTTCTTCCTTCTGCCCCAAATCATTGATTTGAATCCTGGTTTCCTTCCCTTCACTCTCAGTTCCCTGGATATTTTTCCTTAATTCACTTTGCATACCGTTTGCTTTTTCCTCTATTTTGTGACCATACTCAACTTGGTTACCAGTGTTTTTAACTCTGCATCTGATAGGTTGGCTATCTTTTCATCTCTTAGTTGTATTTTTTCTGGAGTTTTGATGTGTTCTTTCATTGGGGCCATATTTCTTTGTCTCAGCACTCCTGTTACATTGTAAGGTATTTTCCAGGGCAGGGCAACCCAAGTCTCTTTGTTGTGGTGCTTGCTTGGTTCTTGGCCTGCTGTAAGCCACTTTTCTCACTACCCACAAGCAAATTGGGCCCTTCTGATGCTGATTCCTGGATGGGTGAATTTGTGTACATTCTGGGACCCTGTGGACCTCTCCAGTGAACTCTCCTATGAGGCTTGGTGTTTTTCCTATGGGCCCAACCCCCACAGGTTTTTACAGTGAGAAGTTTTAAGGCTTTCTGTTCCTGCGCTGGAACCCTGGGTTGTGTGGTCTGTCTGCGTCCTCAGTTGCTCCTCCCAGCTTATACACATGCAAAAATGGGACCACCTGGTCCTCCAGCCGCAGCCTTGCTGCACGTCCTCCCCCATCCCAGCCACACTCTGACTACCCCACTCCGCCCCTCCTACCAGTCTAGGTGAATGTTTCTTCTTTAACTCCTTGGTTGTTGATCTTCCATACAGTTTAATTTTCTGGCAGTTCTGGTTGTTTTTTGTTTTAAAATTTGTTGTCCTTTTGGTTGTGTGGGGAGGCAAAGTATATCTACCTATGTCTCCATCTTGGCCGAGCTCATTTCACCTGTTTTGAAGCTATATTTTCCCACCTCTTTACTCTGCTGACTCCCCATCTGTTGACTGCTTGCAGGGTTTCTCTTTTTACTAGACTACTATAGAATTATCTTCATTTTTCCTTTATTTGGTCTCTGAAGCCAAAATAAACTTTTTTTCCCTTGGTAAAGTAGCCCTTCCAATATCTTCTGCCCTCCTTTTTTTGTTCCTTTCATAGACCCCATAAGAAAAGGCTATTTATACTATTTGGAACCCCTGCCACCCAGCCCCCATGTGGTGATGTTAAAGGTGGCACAAGTGAGTTGGAGTAAAGTGAAATTGATTTATAAGATCTTTTTAGGTAATTCTGGAGTTTTTATTGGTTCTGGGGTCCTAAGTGGAGGGGGAACAAATGTACCTGCTCAAGAATATCTAGGAGACTACCATATAGATTGGCAGAAATTTCTCAAGTAGTCAGATTTCTTCCACATTCACGCCTGTCTACCCCAAGTGACTCGTGAACAGGTGGACTGTATTGTATAGGGTTGGCCAAAAAGTTTGTTTGATTTTTTCTCTAAGATGGCTCTAGTGGTGCTTAGTTGTCTTTAAGTTCATCATTCGAAGCAATTTTGTTAGATTGTATTGTAACAGCTGTCCTATCAGTGTGCATTAAAAAAAAACGAACTGGTAAATTTTTGTGTAGCCATATTAATACTGAAGATGGAAGAGAATACGCAACATTTTCGCCATGTTATGCTTTATTATTTCAAGAAAGGTAAAAACACAACTGAAACACCAAAAAAAGACTTGTTCAGTGTATGGAGAAGGTGCTGTGACCGATCAGATGTGTTGAAAGTGGTTTGAGAAGTTTCATGCTGGAGATTTCTCTCTGGACGATGCTTCTTGGTCAGTAACCAGTTGAAGTTGATAGTGATCAAATTGAGACATTAATTGAGAACAATCAGTGTTATACCATGCAGGAGATAGCCAACATACTTAAAATATTCAAGGCAATAAAATTATTGGTGAAAATGAAAAATGTGTCTCCTTTTATGGAGAAAACTATATGGACTTTTTTGGCCAACTCAACAGAGTGGAATCCAGGTGTTGCAGGTGGAAAGGAAGGTGAAATTCCAAGCAGTTGCAGTGGTAGAAAAAGGGATTTTTATAGGCAACTGTTTATTCTAGGTCTTATGCTTTTCTTTGGCTTCCATTTGTTCTCCTCCATTCTCTGTGTATGCCATGCATCACCCTGGTTTCTTTCCTTATGGTGTCTCCTTGCCATTGACATTTCATAATCTTACCCAGCAGATGTCTCACATCATCCATAAACTTTTCTACAATTAAGACAGTCTGTTTTGACCTCTTTTTTTCTGAACTTTGATAGCAGAGGATGTGTACATCATACGGTTTAGTTATTGGGACTTTGACACTGTTTGCTAAGAATTTCATATATCGATGTGTTCTCCTACTTTGGTATGCAGCTTCTTGAGGGGAAGGAACAACACTTATCTCTTTTCATGTCTCCTATTTTCTTTAATGCAAAACTAATCTACTTTTATGCTAAATATAAAAACATAAGACTAATCTACTTTTTATGTTTTGTACATGGTATTTCTTTTGCCTCAAGATGTTCTCACTATACTCAGCAAACTCCAGTTCTTTCAGAATCCAGTTCAAATGCCACTTCTTTAAGTGAAGCCTTTCTTAATCTTCTTAGAAAAGATCAACCTTATCTTACTCCATCATCTATTGTCACACACTTCTTTAATTTCTTCATAGGTTGGATTTTGCCATTGGACTGGGAAGTTTGGGCCTTTTTATATTCCTAATGTTTAACATAATACCTTGAACATTCTGAGTGTACAATTAATGTTGGGACTGTGTGAAAGAGTGAAAGAGAGGTTTATTTTTGACAGTCTGCCCTTTTTTAGACTCTTGCATTATATTTTGAAATAATTATAAATTCATAAGAAGTGGCAAATGTTGTGGAGACTATTGATGTACCTTTTACCCAGTTTTCCACAGTACTAATACTAACTTACGTAACTACATTCCTTTATGGAATTTTGAATTTTGTGCTGTCTGGTTATGCAACCCATTTAAAATAATTTCTTATAAGGTGCCTTAAAGACTAATAATAGTAGATATGATTATTTCAATAGCTAGGTGATAAGTATTGACCTTTGTACATAAACTTTTCAACACAGTAAGTTTTTAGAATTCCAGTTATTAATGTGTTTTTGAGTAGAGATTTCAAGTACCTGGTTAAAATCCTTAGACCTCAGATTGTAGAATGAAAGATGATTAGCCTTAAGTATGGTATGATTTTAAATTTTGGAAAAATCTTAAATATATTATAAATTCAAGCTTATTTGGATTCAGAAGCAGGAGTATTTGTTAATAAAGTTCTGCATAAATTTTACTCTAATAATGCTTTTCAATAATGTTATTGTCTGTAGCTTTTGGTTAGTCTCACATAGCCTTGTTTCATGTATTGCAATAATCAAGTTTCTTTTATATGGAATCTAAGATGGACTTATATTAAACTAAATTTTGTTACTTTAAATAAAAATTAATTGACTTAATGACAATACTAAATAGTACAACATTAAATTTTGGGATCTTTTAATTTTAAAAGTCATTATTTCAAAGCATCAGTGTTTTAAGTTTAAAAACCTTTATAAATTTTCTCATTTAAAGGTACATCTGAACTGTTTACTGTTTATTAGACGATTAGCAGAAGAGTCCAGGGCAAATGCGTGTAAGAACAAGTGTGGAATCATTAAAGACCAGCATGTACTGCCTGCAGCAAAGGTAAAGCCTGAATTGCTTTTCTTGAGCAAGAGTTAAGCCCTGGCTGTTGCAGCTCAGTGGATTGAGGGCAGGCCAAAGTAAACCAAAGGGTCGCTGGTTCGATTCCCAGTCAGGACACATGCCCTGCCCTGGGTTACGGGCCAGGTCCCCAGTATGGGATGCACGAGAAGTAACCACACATTGATATTTCTCTCCTTCTCTTTCTACCTCCCTTCCCCTCTCTAAAAATAAATAAATAAAGTCTTTAAAAAAGAGAGAGAGAATTAATACCACCTGGTTCATCACCTCTGCCTGATTTAGATTTCTTTATTCAGCTTTGTTGACTCAGTTAACTTTGGATTTTCATGTTAATGGATTTGATTACAGAGTTAGATTTTCTTTATATGTGTATTATGGATTGCTAATGCAAAGATTCATGGATGTTTATCACCATTTAGGGGAACATCAAAGTTTGACTGTAATCTCTAGGGTTTGTACTAGGCTATCATATAGTTTAAAAGGCTATCACCTTGAAATTTATCAAAACTTTCTTGATCATTTTCTTTCCCTAATTGCCTAATTATTTGTTCTTCTGTGTTTTGAGATTTGCATGACTTATGAATCAAATTACTTATAAAAGCAGAGAAGATTACTTCTTACCAGTATTTCTATATAATGTGAGAATTTGATGAGTAGGGCAGAGTTTTTTCTAAATATGTTCCTGAGATCATTTCCACTTGATGTTAATAGATGCCCCACTATGAATAGCTGCTGGGGTCAAGTTACATTTACATAACATATTATACCTCCTTGAATAGTCACAGTGTTATTATGTATACAGAGCTTGTTTATATATAATATGCAAGAAATTGGCAACCATAGTTGACTGGGGGATGATGTGGGAAAGAGACACGTATTTTTCATACTCTCTGTCTTCATATACTTTTTATTTTGGAATATCAAATAATTATAAACTCAGAGAAGGTGCATAAGTTGTATAGAGAGTGCCATGTACCTTTTCTCCAGCTCTTCACAATGCTAACGTCTTAATATAACTCTAGTTATGGAAAGTTATAAAAGGTTATGGGAACTATAGCAGTAAAGAAACTAGTTGAACTCTGTTCAACTTACCATTTTGTAAATTTGAATACATAATATTCTCATCATTTTGTAAAATCATTTGAAGACATAATACTCTCTTTTGCAGTACGCATATTAACATATAAAACAGAAATATTAAACTAGAGTATAGACCTAGTTGGTGGCCACTGTGGAAGCCTAGAAATGTGCATGACCTGGACTTTTCTTAGAGATTTCATATTTTCTTACAATTATAAACATTTAACAAGATTCTAGACTATTAGTGTTAGTTTTTATGTAGGTAAAGGAAGGTTTAAGAGCTTGAAGGGTGTATGTATGTGTTTTAAATTTAGGATTTCTTTTTTATTAATAAATTACAAGTACGCTTTATCTAAAAGTAGATAAGTTCTCTTTAAAAAAGTTTTGGGTACATTCTGGTCTAATGCCCCCTGTCTTTTATGACTAAAGATATATTGTTTTTATTTCTCTCATGGGCTATATGATTTGGAAATTGTCTACCTAACAAGCTTTTCAGCATTAGATGACTTGTTTTGGTCTCTAAGTTGATGTAATTCAGACCATTCATAAGAAATTTGGTATTGCAATGGATTTGTACTGTTCTATAGTTATTAAATGCCTTATTTATAAGAGGATTTTTGGATTTTGGAACATTATATAACTCTCAGGATTACTGAATTGTCTACAAGCCTCATGTTAGGAACCATTAATATGGACACTTGGCTTACAAATGAAGAAGTTAACATCTAGAAAACCATATTTTGACTATAAAACCATATTTTGAGAATCCAGGCATGTTTTATGTTCTTTGAGAGAAGTAGACATCTCAGACCATTTATAAGGCAAATGAATTCCCTAATCACCTTCCATATTGGGACTTAAAAATTCATAGTCTTGCATATTATACACATAGGAATATTTAACCTTCTGTTGAGGAATTATGATTTATTTGCCATAGATATAATATGAATCTTCATTTTTTCCTCCCTTACAGGTTATTCTAAAGAAGAGCAGAGGTTAGAAGTCAAAGAACACACTTTTGAAATTATATATTTTTTTATTTTCGTTGGTAACAGATCATGAAAGCACTTTTTACATATCCGTTAATACTGTATATTATTAAAATATTGGCTGTTTGAGGAATATGTGCATTTGTATTTCATCTTTTTTTTTACTGGTATTGAAATATCTCAAACAGAACAATGTATCTTTATTTTTGAGGAATTATATGTCATTCGTTTTAAATGGACTCTGTTCTTTGCTTTTGTTTCATTGGTATGGCAAATGTTTATCAAAAATAAAATCTTACTAAATGAAGTGGCTTGAAGAGATTATTTCTTGAAATTAAGCTTATAAGTATTTAGCTTTAGACATAATTAACTATGGAATCAATTTGTGCTCTAAAAAAAGGCAATTTACAGTCAAAATTAGGTACATTTAAAATAATTTCAACTCTTTAATGCCTTTGAGTAAGTAATACAGTATACGTTTTATTACTGAGTCATATTCTGTGGTATTTATATACCACAGTTTGTACAACTGTTCACTCATTGAGAGCCATTTTGATTATTTCCAGTCTTGACTATTACAAATAAAGCTGCTATGAACAATCATTTATAAGTTTTATACAGATATAAGTTTTCATTTCTCTGGGATAATGCCCAGGAGTGTGATTGCCAGGTCAAATGGTGAGTATATGTTTAGTTTTTAAAAAAGAAACAGCCACACAGTTTCCCAGAGTGGCTGTACCATTTTATAGTCCCATCAGCCTTTTATGAAAGATCCACTTTCTTTACATTCTCATGAACATTTGGTATTTTTATTTTTTATTTTAGTTCTTCTGATAGAAGTATGCCTCCTCAAGGTTTTTAATTGCATTTCCCTAATGGCTAACGGTGGTGCACATATTTTTATATGCTCATGTGTCATCAATTTGGTGAAATACTTCTTACGAGGGTAGAATACCTCTCTACCTCTGCGGTCTTCCCTGACGCCGTGAGGGCATGGCCTCATTACCGCTGACTGGTGAAAGCCCTGCCTCCGGCAGGTCTCCGATTCCTCTCCACAAGAAGAGCGTGTTCCCTGTTACTGGAGGGGTGGATGAAATTCTGGCTCAGCACGAACTTTCCAGCTGCTCATTGAGCGTCTCTGAGACCACGCCGGGTGAGGGGTTTGGGGCGCGTCATGGCTGCCTAGTAAGAGTAGAAGTCTAGGCTGTCTGCTTGACCATTGCTAATGAAGCTGGAGAGTGCAGGCTGCGGTTTTTATTTGTGGTGGTTGGCTGGCATAAAGTGGTTATTACCTAAAAATTTTTTCGTTTTGTCCCCTGTCCTTCAGTTGGAGAAAACAGGTGTTTTTTTTGGGTGGGGTGCTTTTTCTTTTCTCCATTTTATCTGTGCCCATAGGTATTTCTGAGTTGCAGCTTCTATAGTCACCAGACAAGATAGAAGTAAAGAAAATATCCAGGGAGCTCACCACTGTATTTTTCCTTTAGTTCCAAGTTTCTAGCTATTTTATTATCTTCTCTTGACTTTTCAGAGTCGTCTTAGATTTCTTTTAAGTATGTGAAGTCCAGAGTTTATAGTTGAACAAAGAGGAGTAGGGAAAAGTACATTTACTTCATCTTTTTGAAAGCAGGAGTCCTGATAGTTATCTTAAGAAAAAGACTTCAAGGATGTTGACAACAGCTAAGTTAAATGTTCTTAATAAATATTATGAAATGAGAAAAAGAATTCTTGGAATTATCTAAACTAAAAACCCAGGATTTATTCTTGACTCCAAATCCATCTGCCTCCTTCCCTTATTTGATCAAATAGGTCACCAGGATTTCACTTTGAATCGCATCTCTTCCTACCTCTACCCTCCATTGCTTTGTGTCAGACTCCCAATATCTGATACAGGAAATATGTACCCATTACCTGACTTACTGCATTATCCTATCTGATATCCTTGAATCTAGTTCCCTACCATACCTTCATACAGTCTCCAGTCCATCTTCACAATTTTGGAGTTGTCTTTCTATAAAATATAAGTGCAATCATGTCATTCCCCTATTGAAAACCCTTCAGTGGCTTATCATCATCTTGGGTTAAAATGAGCCTGATATGTAACACTATTAGTTACCAGGTACAGACTTACATGTATATGTACAGGTCCTATTATCTGGTAAGCTTTCCTTGGACATGAATAGGTTAATGATCAGAGAACCAAGTGTTATGCCAGGGAACTCCAGAAATCAGAATATGGAAGACTATCATGAACTACCAATATCCATCCTAGTACCAATCCTTTTTGGGTAATGTGTTCAGAGAAGAATCTTCCATTCCTCATTTTGTTTCTGGGATAAATTATTTTGAGACTAGACTGTCCCGCACTTAGTTCCCCAGTCATTTTGCTCAGCTCCCATCTCTCCTCCTCCATTGTACATGGCCATCTGGCCTCAGGAGAGGCCCCCGAGCTGCCCTGGGCAGGACAGCTGCCTCAGCTGCAGCATTTTCTTTCTTCCTTCCTTCCTTCCTTCCTTCCTTCCTTCCTTCCTTCCTTCCTTCCTTCCTTCCTTCCTTCCTTCCTCCCTCCCTCCCTCCCTCCCTCCCTCCCTTTTTTCTTTCTTTCAAGAAAGGCACACTGCCACGTGCAGCGCCTCATTCGGATGTGTCTGGAGTCTTGGAAGCTTGACTACCCTACGTTCTCCTACAAATGGACCTTGAGAGCTTGTTTGGAGGTTCTAGCAGGGGAGCGCAGCTACTCGTATACACTTGACTGAAGACCGGTCCTCTCCTCTAGTTGGGAAGGTCGTCCTCTTCGACCAAGCGCGCAGCTTTGGGAGGGACGCGCATGGATCGGTGAGGGAGGAAGGGGACACCCGCCTAGGCAGCCAGATCAGCCGAATCAACCCTGGCGATCAGTGGGGTGACAGATGTCGCAGCCAGATCGCCCTCACATCCATGCATTTTCAACTATTGTTACCTGTAGCTTCTTTGGCTCTGCCTCAGCACTCATTAGATTCTCTTTGCATCTGGAAGTTTCTTGAAGTCTCCTGAATGTCTACATCTCACCTCTTCAATTTTGGTTAATAACTTTTTATACTTCATTATTTAATGGAAACTAAGGAGGGAAAGAATGTGTGTGGTCGATTTTGAACAGACAGCTTCATGGATTCTTAGTTCAGTAAGATTTTTTTAAGCATTAATATGCCAAGATTTTAACAAGTCTTACTTGCTATATAAATACACATTTTAAATGTAGAATTATGTTTAATACCAAGATAAATGATAAGTATTAGGGTTTCTCATGAGAATGTAAACAAAAAGTAAGTAGAATATATAATTAATGCTGAAGAGTTCTATAAGTGTGTGTAATATAAAAATCTCATTTGACTATTTTGAAATAGGAGCTGGACTAGGGTATTTTGGTTTTAGGACAATTTGAACTAATATATCCAGAGTTAATATCTTTCTTATTTTAAAAATGAGATTTTCCTCATCTTTTCTATCTCCTATGTAAAGACAGGATCATTACAACGCAGCTAGGCTCACTACCTCTTCCTCAGAGGCTGTCAAATAATCTGATCATATTCTTACATTATGTGTATTTGGCTTTTGTATGCAGTTTTTCTACATCATCCCAGCCTTTAATTGTGAGACTTCTAGAAAGTGTGCTAATATTAAGATTCTACAATTGAAGGGTAAATTAGGATTCTGACTGGGTGTTTGGAGAGTCTTAGGTATTTGTACTGCCATCTTGGGATACCACAATATTGCTAACCTGAAGGAAAATATTGTGTGTGTGTGCGTGTGTGTGTGTGTGTGTGTGTGTCAGGGGAGGGGGTGAAACGGAATAGATGAAAATGAGGGGAGTTGGTAGAGGTAAAGTCAGTAGAGGGAGGGGATTGCGTCTATGCAAGTTTGGCATCTCTTCTGGGAGGTTTTCTTTTATAGGTAGAAGCTTTACTGGCTTGGTCAAAAATTAAAACTCCAGATTGAAGTCCAGATTTCTGATTAAGCAATTTATTCTTAGTGGGCTTTTAAATCAGGTTTTGTCTCTGAGATTTGAGAGCTAAGGCTGCCAAGATTTAAGTGAAGAGAAAAGTCATTTATTTCAATTCCTACTGACATTAAATTGCAAGACTTTGTAGTTGTTAAACATAGGTACTAAAAATAATTCAAGTTCAAAATATAAAGTTTGGATTGAATGTACAGTTATTCATACTATATTTACTATGCAGGGGAAAATGCAGTCTAATATATGAATGGTGTACTTTTGATTTGTATTATGAGTTCAAGTTAGAGCCTTAAAAATAATTTGTTTTATAAAACTTTATAGTATTTTTAAAGTTACCTTATTCTTTATAGTATAAAGCCCATTATATAAAAGGATACATATATTTCATTAGTTTCCTTGTATAAACAGTTTGGTTAGTGAAACAGTGGCTATTTGCAAAAATGCACAAAATTTTAATTATTTTGGAAGACTTATTGGTGTTTTGTAATCGAAGTAAGTTAAGCCACTGAAGTAAGTTAAAATTTGACAATTAGTATTTAGGTATACTATACTTAAAAATGTGAGGTAGTTAGCTACAAATTCCAGCTTAGAGTGCTTAGGAATGGGAAGAGGCAGCCGTCCATTCAATACATTGATTAAATGTTCTTAACCCTATAATTTTGTGCATAGAGGACTGTGTGTTGTGAAAATTACTGTTCTTAGATTTTCACTGAAATTGGACTGTTAAGATTATCAGAGGGAAAGAACATGCCTAAATTCTAATAAAACAAACTCATTTATTTTTAGTGATGTATGTGCATTTTTGGTCAATTTAGGTTTAACTGGGTTGAATTAAGTATTAATAACCATACCTACATAGGTATTTTGAGATCCAATAATACGTTTCTGAGTGTTATGAGTAGTTTCTGGTTTGTAAATGTATACCATAGACTCTAATAATTCTGTTGGGTATGCTTATTTAGTATTTGCTATGCTGATCACTCAAGTAGAATGAGGGACAATATCCCTACTTTAAAGTGTACCATCTAACTAGTATTTACTATAGAATTTGCTTAAATATGTGTGGGTTTATATTCAGTTGGCCAAAATGTCTGTTATGTTTTTTCCATAAAATAAAAGACATA